CTGTGCTACACTAATTTAAATTGCTTACTTAGCTATAGTCTTATTAGCCAAAGTCACCTGAGAACTTCTGAAGAGTGCAGATCATGTAAAGGTGTCTTGCCATTGCGTAACTACCTTTAATATGTGGAAACACAAGAACAACTGCTTGGCACTTGCCATGAATAGGGCAGTAGTTAAATAGATTGGTGTGGGAGATGTCACAGTAGCTCTTTAAATTATGAAGAGGGAGATAAGAGTGCAGTATCTCAGATGCTACAGAGATCTCCTGGTTAATGGGGATTGAAATATTGTTCTTGTCAGTTATCTCCTGGAGTAGAGATCACAAAGATGTGATCAGATTTTTACCCTGTTTTAAGATGTAGACCTTTCAGACTTAACAATCAGCAAATTCAGATGTTTGATGTTTTATGTAAATGGTTAAAATTGAAGACTGTCACCACTGGTCATTAAAAGTCCAGTGCCCCCTTTTATAGAAGGAGACTACGTTTCATTTGATTTTCTACCCCAATTCCATTTTGGGGAATTATGTTTTTCTTCCCTAAACATTCTCTTTCATTTTGACTAAGTAAGATAGTTGTAATTTGTTATCATAAGTTGTCCATTAGTTTGACTATGTGCTGTTGTATTCTAGCCTACGGCTGGTAAGCTTCACTGATGTGTAAAGTGATATCCATATTTACCAATTTTCGTAGCGACTCAGTTCTCTACAGCTGCAGGTTATGCAAGTGCATGAGGAATTCCTCCGACTGGTCAGTTTTTACACAGATCTGAGTACAGTGACCCTCTGATTCTAGTTCTCTTTGTGGTGCTGGCTTCTCCAGAGAGATTGGGAAATAGGCAGGGACATGGTGCTTGCCATCCTTGCTCCATTAAGCACTGGAGTTCACTGGGCATAGAATGAATCTACATTTCAAACCATTAAGGATTGTAGAAGCAGCTGTGTTCTCCTGGTGTGCCAGGGGGCTCTGAGTGATATCTCCTCTTGAGGTACAATGTCTGTAAGACAATGGGGCTGTGAGGCTCTTTCAGTGTAGGCTGAAGCCTATAGTTTGCATAGTTGGGACTTGCTTTGAGATTAAAAGTACCTATAAATGTAAGTGGTTATTATAAGCTGCTGCCATTTGCAGAAGCTAGTTTTTGCTTCATTTGTGGGCTCTGGGTAAAGAATTCATGGTGGAATTTATTTTGGAGTAAGTTATTTTGGATATCAACTCATTTCCCTAAGGATAGCTTTCCAGATTTCTTGTTTTACTTGACTAGTGAAGTTAGAAACGAATTGATTGTATTACTCTTTATTGATATTATTTTGTTGCTGTTCAAACAGAGGGACATGGGTTTTAATCTTTGTGATTATAAATGAGTATTTTACTGCTTGTGGAAAAGAAAACATTTGAGAGTTTGATCAGTCCTCCAACACTAAGACAAATCTGGATAAGGAGAAGAACTATATGAATTTCTGGGAGATCCAATGTGAATTAAGGTCCACATCCTATAGATGGGGGCCTTAGCATTATCGCATATGTTTAACATTATGAAATGACTAATCCCATTGTCTTTAATGGGGCTAATTGCTAATAAATTAGCAATGAAGTACAAGGCTAATGCGTTCATTTATTGACAACTAAATTTTTAACTAGCAGAGAATTTCAGAATGTTACTGGGTAAGGTAATCTGCAATTCATTTAAAAAAAAAAAATCAAATCTTAGCAATTCAAATTAGTTTGTAGCTATTAACTTTGCTAGAAGGTTTGAAAGACCTTATGTTTTGTGTTTAGGTTATAGGGTTTATGAGTTAGAATGGGAGTTAGCAAAGTTGCCAGTTGTCCAAAAATTTACAGACCGTCTGTAAATAGCCAGCCTAAAAATGCCTGTACGTACATTTCTTAAAAATAATAGAGCCTCCATAAAAATAAGAAGTCCTGAGCTTGTTTCAAGATTCAGTGCCCAAATTAAACTGCATTCAAGCACTGATGCTGGACAGAAAGAGCAGAGCAGCTCCATCTTGTGTCTAAGCAGGTGCGCTGCTTGATGTCCTCCAGTGAGCTGTCTGTCATGGCTGTCTGACTTATCGTAGTTTCCATACTTCCTTGCGACAGGGATGGTGTTGCAGAACATGGAATGGGGGAAGAGATGACAGCTGGGGGGGTCAGTGCCATGATAGGGGAGAGTGGTGCCGGTGGGGTAGGACTTGGGGGGGAAGGGGTGCGAGCAGGGTGCAGAGTATAATTAGGAGTGTCAGGGTATTGGGTTAGTAGGGGCAGCAGGGTGGAAAACCAGTGCTGCAGTCATAGGGCTGCCAACCTGAGGCTTGTTTTTGAGATGGTAAAAACGTGTGTGTATGTGTGTGTGTATCTCTCTATATATCTATATAGAGATATAGATCGATAGATATCTATCTACCTATCTATAAATAAATATAGAGATATATCTATATAGATTGTCAGTAAAAAGTTTGCCAATTGCCAGTTTAAAAAAAAAAAAAGTCTTGGGGTTAGTAACCCTGTTATCAAAGTTCTAGCACAGTATGAAAGAGAGAGAGAGAATGAAAAGAGCTTTGTGAATCAAAACTCTTCATTGCAAAGAAAAGGATACAATTTGTAAAATTATTGTATATTTAATGAGCTGCTAGCAGAAGGTATTATCCTATATAATTTGTAAACTCCAAACTGGCGATAACTTTCTTGGAAATGTTAGTGTATAAGGAATGTAGGATTGGACCCTAGATTGGGAACCCTTTAAATTTGACTTTTTCCATTTATTTGCAACATTTATATAATTTTCCTTTTCAAATAAAATACTTCTTTTTTTTATTTCAAGGTAAATATACTGTCACTATTCAGGAACCAAATCTTATCATTTTAATTTAATTTACACTTTTACTACAGTTGTAAAACAATGTATATGTTGTGATGAAGGGGTGAGAATGAATGAGGAAGTGAATGTTCTTGACTCCAGAGGGCTAAAATTTGATTAGTGATGGCGAGGGTGGGGTGGAAGAAGGATTCTTAAGTCAAACAGCATCTTTTTTGTATAGAATTACCTAGCTAAAGAAAGACTTTCTCTTTTGTATGATTAACAAGTACGCAAACATTGCATAATTTAATAAAAATGAGTAACCAATTCATTTATGGTTATTAAAGTATGAGTGAGAAATGTATTTTTATCTTCCCATTTACAAAGGTGCCGCAAAGCCGAGCACAAGTAAAATTCATGGTTAGTTAGTTAATCAGAACAACTAGGAAAAGAGTACTATAGAAAGCACAGTAAAAATTTCAGCAGTGGGTTTTATTTTATTTTATAGGCACTGTTCATCTTACTTTGGTTGGGTTTCAATATTATGACCAAGTTAATAATAATAAAAAGTACACATGACTTTAATTATTGAACCAACAGACTGAAATCCAAAAATGACTCTTTGCTGTAGCTCTTGGTGAAGATGCTATAGTCTGTCAGAGCTGTTCTCTCATTGGCTGGTTGTCATTCAGGCTGGGTTGTCATGTGACTGCCTGTCTGTGCCTGCTGTACAGGTGAGTGGATGTTCTGCACAGCAAGTGTAGACAGGCAGACACATGACAACTCCGTCCAGCCAATCCCTTGGATCCATCAGGGGGTCCTTTCCTCACCGTCTCATAAGAATCAGTCTGTCCCATTCCAAGTTTAGGGAATTTGTAGGGGCAGGGAACACACATGACAGAATTACACTTTAAAACATTAGGGAGCTGTAGAACAAGTACATCATTTGATTTTATTCAGAAAATATGCTTTTATTACATAATAGTTGTGCTGACATTTATATGAGATGGGATTTCAATAGAATGGCCACACTGAACGTTTTTAAAAGAGCAATGATTTAAATCATGGTTTATTTTAAATGCAGTTCATACAAAAGTTTGCCTATATACTGTAATTGCACAGCATGTCATGATTTAACCAGATGTTTTTACTCTTCTTAGAAACGCAGAAATACTGACATTCAAGATAAAGGATATGTTTACACAGTACATATTTTCTAGGAGCAGATAAGTACCACAATCTTGCATGTAAAAAAAAAATCTTTCTGTATAAATGGAAGCAACCCAATAAGGCAGAATATGCTGGAAGTGAAACTGATGTTATATGAGACTTTTGTTTTAGAACATTCAAAGGGAGTTTAGTTTACTAATAATTCATTTAGCATAACATTTTAATTTCAAATTCCCCTGAGCATGCCTAACTTATGTTAAACAATAAAAAATAAAAAACAGTGTTGGATTAAAATGTATGTTCCATATTTTTTTAATATAAATTATGGTTTCTCAAGTCATTGTTGCTCACTAGCGCCACCAGGAGTAGTTTTTAGAGGTCATTCTAACTGTATTTTTAGACTTTTCTAAAACCTGTGCCATACTGAACAAAAGGAATTCAAAAATTACTCCAGGTTGAACATTGGCCAGAATAGGGTTGATTTTTATTAAAGGGCTACAAGATAAATATTTTTCAGTATTTTTGTTTGTTTGTTTTTTAAGTTTCATGATAGATATGAACTATTCTACTATTCTGGCCCTAATTTCTATATTGCTTCAAGTAACAGACTAGTTTCAACTTTATGCATTATCAGCTTTAAACCTTGCAAGTTGAAATTTAGGTATATTAAAAAAACCCCCAAAAAACACGACCAAAAACTCCATGTATAATTTATTTCAGTTAAGACAATAGATGTGTAATGTCTTCAACTATTATTTAAAATGTTATAGGAATTCCAAGTGAAATTACAGCTGAGTACTTCTAAGGTTGTACTTTTGCCCTCCAATAGCCTGACAGTTTTAAAAGATAAGTTCATAATGTCGACTACTCCATTGCTTTCATGAAAAGTAAATGATAAATCAGAAATGCTTTTAAAACTACATAAAATGATTTGTTAATTTTAAGTTTCATCTGCTTTCATTTGTGGATTTGGTGCTCAAAAGTGTCAAGGATCTTTACCCTGGAGGAAAAACCTAGGAGCGTGCCTTTCTATTGTTCTTTTTTGGAACGCTGAAACAATTGTCTAGGAAAAAAACCCAAACAATCCACCCTTGGAACCAATAGCACAAAAGGATCAAAGCCTAAATGCACAGGGCACTTTAATATGGGCAGCAAGTATTTGTGGAACAGGGTTGGGAGGGCGAGGATAAAAGGAGGTGAGTTATTTGGTGGTGTTCTAGAAATCAGAAATTACTGACCAAACACAGGAAGACTGAATAGAATAATGCGGTTCAGTGGTTTTAAGAAGTGGAACTGAGGAGAGTATATTTCATTCTTAAACTAACCGTTTCACTTAGTACTTCATGATCAGGCTGTTATAGTCCGTTGGTTAATATATACTTTAAAAAGGCACTCGTTACATGTTTACAAAAATTGTGCACTGAGTGGCTATTTTTTGTGCAATATATGATAAAGGAATTAATAAAATATAGTTTGATTTAAGTAAATCACTATTTCAAATATATTATGAAAGCATAGGAATGCAGAAGCAGAAAACCTCGTAGACTACTACGGAAACCTATATTAAAATATCATTGAAGGGTCTGACTTTAACTGTTGGTAGCTACAGAACTGAATTAAGACTGAAATTTTATGCAATTGCAACATGTACTGTTCTGTATTCAAGTGGGTGATATATATTTTAAAGAAACTATATATAATGCAGTACTAAAGCACACTGGAGTGAATAAAGAGAGTTCCAACTTTAATTTTTGGTATTTCCTGTCTCTTGTAGGTAAAAGCCTGACCCTTAATGTTATTTTAACTTGGAATTTTCTATGCAGCACAGTTCTAGTAAGTAGAGCTCTTTGCAAGTAAGGTTGAAATATGCAGTTGGAGATGAGAAAAGCACTATTCCTAAAATAAAATACTTTTTTTTTTTTTAAGTAAAGAAATTGGATCTTGGACGACGTATGAGACCATTTTTATTTATTTCACATTCTGATTAATATATTTGATTCCCTAACCCTGACACGATTGTATTGTACTATTTAATATGTCTAGAAGTTAGAAAAATGCTGGTATTTTACTTTTTTTTGCTTATAGTATTTCCCACATAGCAATGATACTTGGGTGGTCTGCAGAAGTGTGTTTGTGTGTGAGGAGTGGGGGAAGGTGGTAGTGTTTTAGTCTATCTGGCTAAGACAAACACATTAGCCAGAGCGAATAGCCCTAACAGGGGAGGGAGAACATGCAACTTAGTGACAAAGGGTTGAAGACTCAGTGGCTTTTTCTCCCTTTGAGCATTTTTTTCAATGTGTCTGTCTGGAATTTGATTTCATTTCTATAAGGTCAAGGAGTTGCTTCCTTTAGTTCCTGTTTTCCTTCTTTTTATTAAATGAGTCGTCATCTTAAAAAAAAATTATTTTTTCTTTTCCCCCATTCTCCCTCTACTTACTTTTTTGGACATAATAGTTTATTTTTTAAAGAAAATGACTTGTCTAACTGATCCATTGTACAGAAACACGGACCTAGCGGTGAAAAGGTGGTTGTACTGATTTTAATTTGCCTTTTCTGTTGTTGTGTTATCTATAGGAAAAGTCTTTCACATCAGACAGTCCACTGTATGCATTCGTTTTGAGTGCTTGTACAGTTGTGGAACCATGAAACTGTCTAAATTTTTAAATTTATCCCTCCCTAAATGCAATTAATATTTCCAGTCTGTGCAAATCCTATTGTTTCTTCTTTGTTCTCTAATAGTCTGGTTATTGATGGTATGTGTTTCTATGAATGCACATTTATAATTTATTTTTATAATCAGATTCCCATAAATATTCTTTCCTTATTAGTATCAAATCAAATGTCTGCAATAAAGTATGATTCTTTTTCTCTGGCTGGTTAAAATCAACTAGACCTTGTTTCAACTCAAACTGTGTTTGTTTTTTTCTCAAGAAGAGTAGGGTTACTTTAATTCATATTTTGAAATTGTTTTGATTGCTGTATTGAAGTACGTATTTCCTTGTCCCTTACAAACAATACAGTCTTTCTTTTCCTATCTATTTGCATACTGCAATCTCCCTCCATTTTTTCCAAAACTCACACCAAGGGGGCCCCCCTGTATCTTCAACCATATAGTCTATAAATGTAACTTTGAGGAGTGGTGGGGGTGGCGGAAATAATTCCTAAATACATGGAAGTTTCATGTATTTCAAGTTTCCTTGAAACTATAGCTGAGCAAATTTCTTAGTGTGGAGCAAAGACTCTGAAGCCTACGTATTTCCTTCCACTTAAACAAAATTCAAGCCATGAAACTTCAGATTTGCCATGCCTAAAACAACTTTTATATTAGAAGCAAGAAATATTAATGTATATGAATTGTTTCATTTCTCTGCTTTTCCTGTTGCCTCTTATTTCTGTTAACAACTTTGCATTAAACGTGCTATTACTTTTCTGATCACTTTTTCTAAAATAGATCAAGAACACAAAATTCTGATCACATTGTAACTTATTAGTAAAATATTTTTTCTGTGCCAAAGACGAGATAAAATCTCTTGTGGA